ATTTTATAAGCCGTGTTTCCACTCAATTTTATCTAGCCGTGATTCATTTTCTCCTCCTTACTAGCTGCTAGCCTTTCTAACATGGACACTAGATCCGTTTTAGGGTCATAACGAAAAGCAGATGTTGGGCAAGTCTGAAATTTTTGCAAAATTTGTGGATTTGTGTTTCTGAATTTCACTTCTACGTATCCCTCCGCCCACGCCGGGCGCACTCTGCAAAACTGTTCTAGGGGGTGCGACTTCAAGAAAGTCAAGAGGACTTACAATAACACTAACTAGGGACGTTATCGATCGCTAGAGGGAGGTCGTATTGAGGAGTCTTTTTATTCCAAAAGTTTTCCTATAGAGAGTATAACGGATTCGGCCTGTGCACAGAAATTTGCATGGCCTGAATATCAGTGTCTCAATGCTTCGTATATAAATGAGCTCAACTGGTCCCCGCCGTAGGGTTCAACAACCCGCATTGGTTCCCGCGTGGTAAACCCTCTAATGTTCGGTGAGGTAATCAGGGCTGGAGACGCACGTGTTGCGCGTCACATCCAACCTTAACCTAACCCTAAAATATCCGTATTCCGACCACAACTAGCACAAAATCCATCTTATCCGCTAATTTTGGCACGTTTTCGTGAAAAAGTGCCAACCTAAACCTCACTACTTTTCTGAATGACACATTTGAAGAGGCGCCGCGGTGCGCATTTCCGATTTCCGAGATATTATTGAAGGATAAGAGTTATTGACAATTTTTCGGTATTGTACATTGGTAGCAAATCTTTGCATAGCTTGAAGGGCTCAAAAAGCAAGTAGAAACCCTCAGGCAGTGCCAAGTGGAGGAGAAGCTGCTTACAAGTAAAACCATGACTTTTATACACAACAGAAATTCAGTGGCAACACTCATAAAATAACGTCAAAATTTCCATTAAGCAAAAAAATACAATATTTATGTACCAGTAGTATCTCAATGTGCCATAGCAAAACAAGTTTACATCTATCGATTGGTAAGTTTGCGCGAAATTGCGCTGTTTCGGCTTCCTCTTTGAATTGTGATTTCTTCTTTTCACAAAAGTATACTTTGAGAAGTATATGAGAACATTCACATTAGGTATAAACTTTCAATTTGACTAAGTGAAGAATGGGCGCCAAGCAACTACAACGAGAAGCACCGTCAAAAGCTGACAACAGGAAATCATCGTAATCTCATTATTTACGTCAGAAAGTGACGCAATAAGAAATAGCTCTCCACTATTAGTACTAGAACAGGAGTCGGAGGAGAAGTGGACGAGATGACGTCGTGAAGGAGATCGATTGTCGCTCCACGGATCCGCAACCTTCGTATGCAACCGACGAATGTTCCTTTGAAACGTGAACTCAACGGGTGATGTTTAGGTCTCAGAAAGAAATGAATTTTGAGAAAAGGCCGATGCCAACAATTGTTATTCTTGGATTTTCACAATGGTACAATTACCACGGTGGCTAGTGAGCGTTAGCGGTAAGAAGGGCTGGTTTCTGCGATATAACCGGAGGATCATATCCTGGTAATCTACTATCGTCAGGCACCCAGAATCCTTTATACATTTTGTACACTTGCCCGACCTCGAAGAGCAATGCATTCGCTCGATTGGCGTTAATTGGTTACCAGGGGTTGTTGTGGAGGAGGAACTGAATTTTGCATCGCTGGCTTTCGCAAACAATGTATGGGGCAATATGCATTTAGTTAAACTATAGTTAGTAGTTTATATCATCTTAAATGGAAGTAGTATGCGTGGACACAATCCAAATAGGGAGTGATACGTCAAACTTCGATCTTCCTTTCCTAAGGGGGATTACAATATGAGAAGTTGTCGTCCAATCGATCGCTATCTTCACAAAGGCGTTAAGCATTTTTGCTACCTTCTTGAAGCGCAGCTATTTGCTCACGGAATTTGTTAGCGGAATTTAAGTTATAATGAATGCTGGCTTAGATGATGTAACAAAAAAATGGAATATCAGCGTTTTTCATGTCTTCAAAACAGTCCAGCACAAGCGACGTTCGGATGGTGGGCCCGGTTCCTGTACCCCCCCCCCCCCCCCCCCCCCCCCCCCCCCCCCCCCCCCCCCCCCCCCCCCCCCCCCCCCCCCCCCCCCCCCCCCCCCCCCCCCCCCCCCCCCCCCCCCCCCCCCCCCCCCCACACACACGACCACGGATGCGATCACATTATACACCTCGCGGTCCCAGCCGGAAAATTTCACGTAGAAGTTTTGATAAGAACCAGTGAGCATTCATCTAATGTAGCTATGGAACTACGGAGTACGCTCGCAGAATGAATCCCGCGATAAAAATGTGTGGTTATTTTGCTCGAAAATAAAAGTAGAGGTGCGAGTAGCCAACAGTGAAGAAAAAATGAAAGAATCAAAGAACACAGCAAGAATCATCTTTTTTTGTGGGCTTTGGAGTGTGGATATAGATGCGCGTCGAAGGAGAGTCTTAGGATGAGAGTGCATGAGGACGAGTGTGAGACGGAGCCCAGAGCAGTTGCAATTTGTCAGCGTCTGTGTGGTAGCATCTTATGCGTCATCATTTTGAGCCGTTAGAATGGCACTAACACCTGAGGTACAGTTATTTTTCTGCCCAAGGCAAGTCAAAGAGGGAAGCGGCAAGAGATCAATAGCGGAGTGTGCCTTTGGATGAACAGTTCATTATATCACAGATCTTTGTGATAGAAGAGAAAACGGGCTAGTACCGCTTCTGAGATAAAAGGGCGCCCAGACTCGCACGTTTTTTTTCTCGCATTTTTTTTCAAATGTGCATACTTCGCGAAAAACTCGGCATGAAAGCCTCTCTTCCGAGATTTGAGAACTTGAATGTGTGCTTTTCGCCTTCTTACTATCCTCAGAGGAGACGTGAAAAGGATTGGACTTTGGTTCCCATTGGAGCACTAGGCTATAACCATTTCAATGGCTTCTATTTGAGAAAGACGAAAAGCAGTTCGAGTGATTTCCACTCCATTGGTACCAAAAACATTTCATGGCGGAAGCACTTTGGCTTCCTTTCATGAAATGCTGACTCAGAAAAAAACCGAAGTCAAAACATGCATAAATCGTCAACGAAACGGTCCCTTCAAATGAATCCATTACCTATTTTGTCAAAAACTTCTCTCTAAATAAATATCCATGCACCTATTACGCCGCTATTACGAGGTTACGCCAGGCACATGAAATCCGCTCGAAATGAAAGGACAGGTTTGAATGCGTGTTCCAGATCCGCGATGACCACCTCTTGTACTCGTAGACAATTCAGGCCAAAAGGCGCCTACCTTTTAGACTGACAACGCACTCAGGCCAGCCTCTTCCACTCCTTCCGAGGCCGATCAGTAGCCATCACGATCGTCTGGGAAATCAAGGCACTAAACTGAACCCTGCCCAAATGATTCTCTGAGTCTTTGGGATCAAATCTTGACACGATTTCATCACGACATTAATTTGAAGTCAAGTATGCGTTGCCTGCAACACTTCTTTCCCTCCTTTTGAAAAACAGGCCGCGCCAACTATTTTGTTCTTAGCCCTAGAGAGTACTTAAGACTGATGATTGATGGGCAGATTCATGATAATCCTTTAGAAGACACTTTAAGAAACGCGTCTTCGGAGACAAATAAAGACTCTGGAAGGATAAATTGGTAACAAGTGCTATTACCGAAGATTGGGCCACGTGTTCGGCTCAATTTTTGAACCGCTAGTAGACTTTTGCCTACGGAGGGGCAGGAGGAATGCTGCTAACCGCCATGGTACGTCAGGTCAAACTGAGGACCATTAGTTTCCCTGAGTCTCCTTCCCCTAAAGATGGGCATCCAGGCTCGTCTTAGGGTAATGATGATCTTCTGACTTAATTAGTCGGCGTGCCACGCATCATTACACAGGCTAATTCGAATGCAAGTTGCAATAGCATGATTCCGAATAGAAGACAAGTGCGCGGCGCATCCATAAAGGGGTTAGGGCGTTAAGGAAACTAGCGGGATGGGGGAGGAGGGTAGGAGGAGGGTATTTCAATGTGAATGCAGAACTTAGCACTTGGAACTAAGCCTCAGGGAGGGGGAGTAACCCCTGGGGAAGGATATGAGCAAATTGTGCTTTCCCTAGCGCTTCAACCTCCCCTAGACTCTAGTCCTAGTACACCACCTACCGTCGGTCCTGATCTGAAAGTCCCCCTGCAAGACACAAGGATCTTTCCAAAGATTCTGGTACCAAGCAAACGACCCTTTCGAGGAGGCCTATCTCTCCACCCCCGCGTCGCAATGCATTTGTCGAGTCCTGGTGATGGTGCTAGAAATGTGAAAAGGTAATATCTGATTTGGAGACTCCCATATACTGACATGATCGATCATCGAGTAGTAACAGGGGGGGAGGGAGGGAAGGGAGTACATCCACCGGTCAGAATTTTTTCGACACCTGGCTTACTCTTGGTTACCACTGCCCTATTTTTCGCCTCCAAAGCCAATGGGACTTTACTAAATTCATCGAAACCTCATGTAAAGAATTTATTTACGATTCAGATTACGGAAATGACACAAATTGGGGCATGTCTTGTTCTGCTTCCATGAAAAACCCTCTGTTGATGCGCACTGCACAAAAAAAGCGCACCATTGGGACGCAAACCGACAACTTTTTGCTCTACAGAGTGAGAGCCAACCTTGACTCTCCACAACCTTCTTAGAAGACACACCCAGGCAGAAGTCGTGTGAACGATTCCCTTCGGTCTGTAGGATAGACCCCTAGAGGACAATCACAAATGTGGCATTCCCGTGCACGGAAATCAACCGACAAGAGCGCTAGGGCCTTGCAAAGTAAGCTGCAGCAGCTGCAATTTTTTCTTTTATCAGGCTGTTGTCTGGCGCCTCTCATCTGTTGCGCTCTCTCGCCTCATACTCTCCTCTCCGCGCTTAGTCTCTCATTCCTTAGCACAGCCGATTAGGAAGGTGAGTGAGCCCTTAACCTAAGCGTTTTCGACGGATTCTTTCCTTTTTTTCTTTACTGCCGGCCCATTTCGCACCAATACATTCGTTTTCGCGTGCAAAACCACACCAATTTGATCCCTCGGCATCCCTTCAAAAAGCAGGTGGCAGTTTTGGGGTGGGGGTTTATAATTAGCGTTCCGGACTTCCTCTGTTTACCCAGTTCTCTCTTGAAAACTGCATGGGAATTCCAAACCCTTCCCTGGTCAGCCACAATTGCTTACTTTTTTTTGATGATCTCCGCTCTTCGGGGAAAATCTCCCGAGGTCACCTAATTCCATAAATTGAAGAAGCTTTTTCACCTAGATAGACGAGACCATTCGTGTTGAGGTGGCTGGCATTAGGAGATGAAATTATTGTCGTCACTTTGTCATCGATGATCACTGTAGTTCGATGTTCTCGCCTGCAACAAAAAACCTCTACACCTATAATAAGTCTTAGGCACAACCCTCAATTTTGCTACTGCTTACAATTGAGTAAACTTTCAAAAGTCCGCTAGTAATTTCACTTCCAGCCTACTCATTTACCCGTCTCTAGAGGCTTCAATTCTGAGTAGCCATTGCTACAAAACACCGCTTTGATGGCTACAAACGGAAATCAAACACAAAGGGCAATTGCCCTGAGAGAAATGACTGGGCACCCTGTGTCAACATGGCGCGATCAGTGATTTTTGAGAAGCGCTAAAGTCACGGAAAAAAACCTTTGGAAATACCTCTCAACAGCGACTCGATGCCATTTTCCGTTGACCACGGCGAAGTTTGTCGTCACAGATTTCAGCGTGTCGTTTCCGAGATTCACCGCAACATTCACCCGTCCCCTTTCTGAGATGGATGACCAGGAAGTCGTTCGACTTCGATCCGGACCACTCCGATTCCCACCAGAGTACCCCATTACTCGATGAAGTACGGA